AATTGTGATTAAAATATGAGTTTGGGATTAAAATATAAATTTAAATTTTTTAATCCAAGATGTTTGGGATTAAAAATTGAAAATTTTATTTTTTGACTTGAATATACGCAAAAATATATATATATAATACGCAATTCCAAAACAAATTCTTTTTTCAATTCCTTTTTCGTTTTTAGTTTTTACACCGGTAGTTGGGATTAAAAATTAAAAAAAAAAAAATTGAATCCGGTATGTGGGATCAAAAATTATTATTTTTATTTTTTCATCCGGTATGCGGGATTAATTTTTTTTAGTTTTTAATCCCATCTTCCCATTATTACAAAATCTTAAATAAAATTTAATTCAAAAATTAATTTAGTTATTTTTTAATGCATTATTTGCAACAGTAAAAAAATTGAAATTTAAAATAATAATAATAAAATAAACCCAATATTAAATATAAGAATAATTTAAAAGCAGGTCAAAATTTTACGAGTTTAAATAATAAAATATTTCAAACTGTATCGCTAAGATTTGTTATAGTAAAAAACAAAAAAAAAATCAAAAAACAGTAAGACTTAATACATACATTCGTAACTGACTTAATTAGTAAAAAATTAACACAAAATACAAATTTATAAAAAAAAAGAATTAGCAAAAAACGATTCAAAACATGATAAACAAAAATTATAAATAATATTGGTAATTTTCTTTTAATTAAAAAATATTAATTAAAAATGTTAAAATTTCATACATGCCTTCATAAACAATTTAGTTACTATAAAAATAGTTAAAAAAACAAATATTTAAACTTTTTTATTTATATTATTTTTTTCTTAAACTTAATTAATTAATAAAAAATAGTGAAATTAGAAGAAATAAATTTTTAATATATATATTCCAAACTCTCAGCAATTTCAGAATTTCTTTAAAGAGTGCATGAAAATGAACTGAAACTAATTTAAGCGTAAATAAGTAACTCAATTAATTTCAAATTCTTCTAGGTAAAATAAAATTTAAAAATTAGTTTAAAAACCAGTAACCAGTAAAAAAAGTAAAGGTATTACAAAATTTCTTGAAAAAATTTAAAATAATAGTTTTCCACTTAAATATTAGTATAGATGTTGGCAATAAAAATTAGTCTATAAATGAAAATATTAAAAAGTTTAGTAATATTGCTTGAAAATATCAATAACTACAGTTTTAATGTAAATATTATACAAAATAATAATAACAAAAATATAAAAAAAATAAAATAATTACGAAGAAATTTTCGAAAACGAAAAATTTATTAATCTTATAAAAAGAAGTAATAATAAATGGCTGAAAAAAAACATACTGCAATATTTCAAAAACCTTAAACAAACGTAAAAATAAAAATATAAATTTTGCCTAATATAAGTGAGATAACCAATAATAATTGCAATAATATTATAAACAAAAGTTAATATTTAAATGTAAAAGGTCTAATTATATTAAGAGTTTATAAGAAATACGATTTACAATTAAAAATATTAACAGAAACTAAAATAAAACTAATAAACAAGTAATTTAGCAAAATACAAATATAAACTCTTCTGAAACAATAATAAGCAGTGTTAATAATATTAATTACAATAACATAAATAATTATAAAAAATTATATCATTATTTATAACAATTAAAACCAGAAAAAGATAAATTGAATTTGGAAATAATTTTTTAATTAACATTTATAAAACATATTCACATTTAACTGTTTAAAATCATTTGCAAGTGTATACAATTTATAAAAAAAAATATATATGTATATACATATATGTATATACATATATAATAAATAAATAAAATATATATGATAATTTTAAATATTTTTAATGCATTTCTAAACAAAAAGTTAGTGGAAAGCGTTCATAAAATAAATTAAATTAAAATTGAGGAAAATATATTTTTTATTTTTCAAAAAACTTTTCCAAATTATTATCACGGTTTCTTTTAAAGAAAAATACCAATAATGAATCAGAAGGAATATAATACAGTTCAAAATGAAAAAAAAGAGATATACATATATATATATATATATAATTATAAATCAGGTAGTTATACAAATTATAGATCGGATCATATTAATTTAATTAAATTAAGATATTTAAAATAATTAAATTAATATTTCATAATAACTTAAATAATTCATAACTTAACTCTTGCCACTTATATAGTAAATAGTTTGAAATATATTTTTAAGAGAAAATGCATTTAATATATAAAAATAATAAAAAAAAAATATTTTTTAACTATAAATTTAACGGTACATTTGCAAAGACTACTATAGAATATAACAACAACGATCATTAACGTAAAACTGCCGATTCGCTAAGCAAATATACCTGTAGATGTGTTTTCTACACACCTGCCTTAACCAACTAATTTTCTAAGCATTTATATTATATCTACATAACTACATACCCATATTTATATGGCTGCATATATTTGAGCAACTTAAGCACAAATTCATTTCAATATTTCTTCTTATTAAACAATAAGTTCTATTTTACATTTTGGCTTAAATTGCAACAAGAATTTATGAAATTCCTCGCTAAAAATTTAAGTAAATGTAAAAAATCTAATAATTAAATTAACAAGCACAAGTGTTTAAAGTTATGTTAAAGTATTTATTTCATATTTGTTTTTCAATTTAAAAAATTTCTAAAAATTTTTATCGAAAATAAATAACTGCCTTAGGAAGAACGGATTAGTTTCATTTTTAACTAGATTATTTCACTAAAGCGGGGAAACAACAAAGTTGATTATGCTTCCACGTAATGGAGTGCCAGTCTGACTAATTGCCTAAATAATATGAAGATGAGGCTGAAGTTTTGCTACTCTTTCCACAAGTAATTAAAAGTTAACATTCAATGGCGAAAAGAGGCAGAGAAAGAAAACATATATAAAATTATGGTTGGTAAGAGCAGTTACATAGCTTTCAACTTAATTGCCTCTGTTTTGCTTATTTCTAGTATTGTGAGTACGACAGTTAATGCTGTGAAGAATTCTTCTAGCGAGTGAAGCTTTAAATCTCGGCTTGGTTGGAAGAGTATCAAAGTTTTAAATGAAAGATTTAGATAAATGAAAAAGAACTCCTTTTGCCTAGAACTTTTCTATATACCACTATTTTCTCACTGATTCCTGTGTCTATGATGACTCAAGTGCAAAGACACGACTTTTCCTTTGTCAATTTTACACTCTATGCTCTGCTTTTATTTATTTTCTAACTCGGTTAATAATTTTTGGCTTTGATGCAATTTAATTTGCTTTGTTTGCTTTTGTGCGATTTTTTCGCGCTTTTTTTTTTGATTGTTGTAGACAGTTTTTGCTTTTGTTTATGTACTTATTTTCATTTCATTGCACTTTCCGCACTTCGTATGGCAATATCATAATATGTTTGTTTATATGTATCTTGTTGGTTGTTGTTGTTGCAAAAGACATTTTGCGCTATTTAACGAGATCACAAAACCAAACCAAAATGATTTGTAGATAATAAAGTGGAATGAATATATACAAAAACAATAAATGTATACCAATTAAGTTCTAGGACGGATAAATTGTCTAAAAATTGTAATGAATCAACAACTACAAAAATAATTATAATATGTATGTCCGTATGTATTTAATATTTAATTAATGTATTAGAAAATTATTGGCAACGTATTTAAACTATTTTTGAAATTTATCAATTACAATATAAGGTGTACAAAGTTGCTTTGATTTGTGATGAACATATTTTGAAACAAAACAATGTTTGAAAAGTTTAGGATCACAGGAACGTTAAGTATGTAATCACTAATTTTAATAATGTGATATCAATAATATTAAAAATAAAATACAGAGAACTAAAATGGCAATAAAAATAAGTGACAAACATAACTAAATAATTTAAATTTTAATTTAAAATTATATTTATAATTTATATTAGAAACTGAAAATGAATGAAAATGAAGTAAAACAAAACAAAACTGAAAATCAAATACTAAACTAAAAGGTTATACAAAAATAACTAATTGATTTTAAAAGTTAAAGTATTAAAATCTAAAATAAATATAGGTTTACTATATAAAATTAAAAACATCAAAATAATAACTATTTCTTTTTAGAGAAATGTATAACAAAGTAAAAGATTGAAATAAAATCAATATATAATCATTGTACTAATTTAAATAAGGTTAGTGAACATAATAATAAAAAGAAATTAAATAATTACTAAATTAATGATAGTAAAATTGATTTTCCTGAAAATAATAAGCTACAAGTTACTATAAATTAAATTAAAATTATGAAAAATAAATAAATTCAAATAAAATTAAAGAAAAATGACATTAATCATAAAATATATATATATATATAATGTAAATAAAATACATAAAATTAATCAAAATATTAATTTGAAATAAACAAACTATAATATATAATATTAAAATAATAGGAAATAGAAATTACTCATAACAAAATTAAATTAATTTAAAATAAAATAAAATAGAATCTGAATAGAACTAATTAATTTACAATTAAAATAATATAAATAAATTAGAATTTAAATTTAGAAGAATCAAACAATAAATTAAATAATAAGAATTTATGAGTATAAATTAGATAAAATAAAATAAATTATTTATAATTAAAATTTAAAATTAACAAAATTAATTATAATTTTTAATGATTCATAGTAAGATGTCTATAAAGTTATTATTATTTTGTAGTCAGCACAACCTTTCAGAGATAATAATATAATAACTAAAATAAAGAATAAATAAATATTGAAATGAATTAAATAGAAATTATGATTCATAAGGTGTTATTAAATAAATATAAATTTAAATATTAATAATATAATATACACTGATTTTTCTAAACACTGTTTTAGTTTAAAGATATAAAATGGGGTTAGGTTGAAAGTTAATGATGTGAAAATTCATAAAAATTACCCAAATTATTTCTAACAAATTATTAAATAAAATCTGACAAGTCCATTCTATTTCGTATCGTTTGCTGTCAACTAAAATTGCACGTTTGCTTAGACTTTTTGTAAGTTTTATAATAGTTTAATCATATTTCTAATACATACACAATAATACCAGTGTTCTAATATTATATTAATGAATATAGAAAATATTAATATATTAGAATAACTTCAAAATAACATAGAGGTAAAGTTCTAATTTATAATCCGGTAATTTTAAATTAAATAAAATAATATCAAAGACTATGTAATCAAAATTTGTGTACTGATTCGGTAAGGTTTAAAATAATATTGTTGTTGTTTTTATGAAGAAACATCTCTTAGTTAAATTGTAGGGATGCTGCTGAGTTGACACTTTAGCTGGAAAATCCAGTCCGTTCCGAGTAATCTAGATCCAACTGTTGCGGGAACGACGGCATTTAATAATACTATTTTATGCAGTTGCATTTATCCATTTGAACGCTCTTCTTAGAATCGTATTAGGGTGTTTAGTTCCACTTTATATTGAAACTTTCTTAATATGATATACCGCATGCAGCATTGAGATGTCTTTAAAGACATTTTGTACTTTTCTTTAGACTAGTCTTAATCTCTATTTACATTTATTTGCAGTTTTTTTTTAAGTACAAGACGAAATTTCATCCAATCACATGGCGAGTTCTAGGAAATGCTCCACGAAACAGATGTCTTAACTCAATCGTGGTCTAGTGACACTTATTTAGGCTATACTAGACGGACTATTAATTATACAATGCTTGTACAAAATCTTTGCTATACCTGGCATACTCAGCTATACTTTGTTACACTCTGCTCTCTAGCCTGCTCATATTAGAAAGAAGCCTACAGACATTACTCATATACATATTTTCTTCACGTTTATTTTAGTGTATCCACTTTTTCATTCAAAAATATTTAAATATTCAGTTCGGTGTGACAAATTGTGCCGAAAACAATTTCACGCTTTAATATTCTTTTGAAAAAAAATGAAAAACTTAGAGACACGATTTTATGTAATTTCGTATATACAAGTATAGACTCAGCAAATGCAAATGTAGCAGAAAGTTTATGCTTCAATAATTTTTTTCGCAGTTGTAAAAATGTTCATGTATGTATGTGTTCTTATTGCTTTATGGGCATATTTGCGTTGCTGTTGTGTCAATAAATTCTATATTCTATTCATAACCAAATCATTTTATTTCGGCGCTTCGCTTTCAACATTAAATTACAGTTTTATTTAAATTTTAAAAGTATAGAAATAATTAAGTACGTGATTGACTGAGGTGCTTTTAAATTAAAAAAATGTATATTATATTAAATTAATAAAAAGAACTCAGAATTTTAATTTAGTGGAGAAGAATTTAAAAAATTCATATTTTAGTTATATTTCAAAAATATTTTGAAATCGAGCCACGCGTGTATTTTACAATTCTTTTTGTTAGAACAATTAATATTGATGTTTTGCTATCTTTTTATAAAACTTTAATCAAAAACACAAACAAAAAAATTTTAAATTTTTTTTATTTGCTTATGAGACACACCTAACCTTGATTTGTTAGTTAAAAAATTCTTCAAAATACAAAAACATATGCGAATATATCTATGCACTCATCTTCAAAGTGTAAATTATCGCAGTTTAGCTTAAAAACCCTCTGTTATTAAAAGCTAGATGAAGGAAAAATATTTTACAAAAAAATATAATTTCAAGCATATTCATAATATTTTGAGCATAAATCGAAAACATTTGCTTTTAAATCTATCAATATATCTTCAAGACGTGTTTATTTTTTTAATTTAATGAGCTTATTTTTGTCAAGAAATCTCCACCAATACTTAAATTAGCCTTCAAAAACTCAACTTCATAGCCTTTAATGAAAATTTTTTTATTAAACTTGAGGATTTTTATATGTCTAGTTTTCAAAAAATCGTTTTTTTTTCTAATCCAGCTGACTTTTTGGTCTTTATAGCCGAAAATCATTCCATTATATATATACAAATGTACATCAGATTTTTTATCACTGTCAGTTGTTGACTTATTTGACAGATGTAAATGTTATTCTACAGGCTTCAAATCTAATAATAATCTGATAATTTTGACTTTATCTGTGAACTGACTTTTAATACCCTGAACAAGGTATATTAAGTTTGCCACAAAGTTTGTAAAAAAATAAATAAGAAAAAGATGGGAGATCCTATAAAGTTTATATATAATTAATCAGGGTGGCGAGCTGAGTCCGTCAGCTATTTGTATATACGTGAACTTGTAGATGTTTTTGAGATATCGATATGAAATTTTACATACACCCTTTCCTCTCCAAGAAGCTGCTCATTAGTCGGAAACACTGATATCGGAGCACCAAAGCATATAGTTGACCACTGTAGTATTTAGCTACCATAGAAACTAGCACAACAGAAAACAAAATCAAGTTCTTATATAAAAAATTTTTCATTTGTGAAGGATTTTTTATATTCGGTGAAAAGTTAACGTTTTTTTTTGTTTACATATAATTATTTAACAATTTTCTCAAAAATTTGTCTTTTAAAAAAAAAGTGAAAAAAAAAATGTCGGATGTCCGAAAAGTAAGAAAAACAGTAGTACATACCATTTCATTGAATCGGTGAGCAAATTTTCGAAAGATTAATATATTAATATGAGAGCTAATAATTAATATTGGAGCTATAATTCTCGTGACTTGTTGTAACAATGGCCTTTGATGAATTTCCTTGACGCCTTAATAATCCCAATACCTTCGTTCTGTAGCATGCGTTCACTCGCATATATTTTACCAAATTATCTTTGGGCCACACTGAATAATTGAAGAATTTTTGAATGATCTGCCACAAATATTATCACCTCTGCGAGCTCCTCGTATCTAGCTAGATTGGAGAAGAGTAGCAGAAGTGTTAAGTCCTATTTTTGAGGCTTTTTGAAGAACACTTTATTTAAAAAAAACGTTTCAGTGGGAAGAGTATCTGCACGATTTCATGGCTTTTTCGCTCTGTCAGTCCACTAAAAAAAATATTTGGCTTTAATTTATTTTTCTTACTAAAAAAAAACACAATAATTTTTAAGAACTTTTCTATTAAAATTTTTGTTACAATATTTAATTATTTTTTATTTATTTTTTCTTTAGTATCGAATTTCAAAAAAATTTTATTATATTTCGGTTTATTCTCAAAAAACGTAAATAACGATTTCATATAATTTGAGAATCATTAAACTTATATTTAAAATATCTGATTTCTTATAAATATATCATCACATTTTTATGAGTTCTTATCTTAGTATTACCATTATACTGTACGTACTATGATGTAAAGAATATTATATATATATATGGAGTACACGAGCAACTTGTTACTTAAATTTTTGCTGCCAAGCATCCAGGTGATTTATTGAACTTTGCACCCTAACTACGGCCTACCTTCAAGTCCTGCAGCACTTTATGGCCTTTTTGAATTTTCATCTAAAATTGAACTTGACCTCACGCATGCCGAAAAATGTTTCGAATTTTTTTTTATTATTAAAAAATGAACGATTTGCAATTTCTATAATAAATAAAGTCACCTTGCGCTTGTTAATGGCTTTTTGTGACCGACCATAAGAATTATACATTAAAAAAATAAAAATAAATTTAAAAATATACCCGAAGTTCATTGGCTATCTCGATTGTGCATTGCAAATATATAAAGAATCAGCAGCTTATATTCTGCGCTTACCGCTTGCTTCATGTTTTGTTTTCTTTTAATATATTATTTATTTTTTGCTGTCAACTCAAAAAACATCTCTAGCAGCGTATTAAGAAAAAAAAACAATAACTACGAATAACACCAATGCTGCTTAAATATGAAACGAGCTCTGAGAGAGAGTTGACCGATATCGGCGCATCTCTTTTAAAATATTATTTTTTATTGTGAAGGTAGTTGTTCTTTTTATTTAATTAACAAAAGCTAGGCGTGACGAACATTAACTTGTCAAGTGAAATGTATGGCAGCATTAAATTCCTGAAATTGTTTCTAAACTACCATTTCCTTTATCAAACGTCGCGACGACCCAGGTTTCTCAAAATTTTAAACACGCCCACAAAGTTCAAAAATCTTATGTAAGCTTGTTGAAGAAGCACAGAAGATGTGAAGAATTTTTATTTCCATACATATTACCTAGATATACAGGCTCATAACAGAAAAATAGAGCACCGTTAAAAGCTCTATATACTGATTCTGCCACATAGAAGTGAAGTTTAGCATTAATACATAATTCAATGACCGCGGATCCTTAAAAATGAAGATAACAAACAATTTTTAAACATCTTTCAAAATTGTAAAAAAATGTGCATAAAGTTTAAATTTGTTAGAGCGAGAGAGATTCTTAGAATAAGAAAGAGGAATGGTGACGGAATGACGGCACGAGAACATATCGTAAGGATAAAAAATATTTGTTAAAATAAAAAAAAACCTTAACTTTGACTGCACCGAAGCTATTAGTCGTTCAGTTTGTATAGCAGCTATATGCTATAATAGTCCTAACCGAATAAAATATGTGGAGATTGTGCCGCTGCCTTCAGCAGTAATCCATGCCAAATTTCGTAAAGATAACTAATAAAAATGTTTTCCAAATAATAAAGTTTTCCATACATGAATTTGATTCTGATTTTAGGAGAAAAGGATGTGTGCAAAATTTCAGATCGATATCTCAAAAACTGAGGGACTAGTTGGTTTATATACAGAGAGGCGGACATAACTAAATCGACTCTGGTCGTCGCATTGATAATTTCTACTTATATATACTTATTAGGGACAGCGACGTTTCCGTCTGGGTGTTACAACCTTCGTGGCAAACTTAAGCTGCCTTGTTTAGTGTATACATATGAAGAAATGTATACACTAGATATACAGCTATGTACAGAGGAATAGGACACCTTTGGCAAGCATTTCGTTGTGTTCTTTGGAAAGAGCAAATCATGGAACATTTTTTTTAAATCATGCATATACAAGTGAAGACCTAAATACCGGCTTGACTTCCCCCGTGTACCTTTACTGAAAAGGAAGATAGTCATCAAAATTTCCAGAAATTATAACTTGTAGAATAATGTTATGATAAAGTCATCAAATATGTTAGAATAAGTAAAGAGTGATGACTATACCGAGAGAGAGACGACAGAAAAACGAGGTCAAAACTATCGTCAAATTGAGTTAGCTTCATCCCTTCAAGTCCTCTTGAACAAATTGAAACGGAAATGAGTGAAAAATTTAGTTGAATCTATAAAAACACGAATATATAAGAAGACTGCTTAATGAAAATCGTATATATAATAGGCAGGGGGACTATTTCGTAAAATGTTAAAGAAATACATATGTTTTTAGTAAAATGGTTAACTAAATTCCCCAGAGACCATTGGACGTCGATTATATAATATAATATAATATAAATATTATCAGATGAAATTAAAAAAAAAATTATAAAACGATCTTGGATGACCGTAAAATGAAGTTGGTCGAGATAGCTGATTATATAAGCATATAAAAAACAAAAATATGTTGGACACATATGTTTAGAAAATTTAGGTATGCTCTCGGCAAAGAGGGTGAATCACAAACTCACCATCTACCAGTTTTTTGAGTCTCAAAGCAAAGAAAACGATGGAAAAAGCGCATTATTTCGAAATGTTGTTAGACATCGTTCTAGTGTATGCGATAGCTCCGTGCATACAAAAATGGTATACTACAAGCTCACAATACATATAAAAGTTGTTGAGTCTCCAAGCAATAAAAACGATGGCAAAAGTGTATTGATTTCGAAATGCTTTCGCCTCCACTGTATTCTCCGGGTCTGATATCAGAGACGGTTTCCTATCCTCAGACCTTTTGAAGAACGATTGCTGGGAAAGAAATTCAGCGACAAATCGCCGTGGTTGAAACCTATTTTGAAGCAGACGACAAATGGTGGCGAAAAATTGCAAGTTCGGCGAATCGCCGATCTTTCGTGGCAACTACATTAAATCATACCTGCAAAGAGCAATATTTATTTTTCTCTAACTATATTTACACATGCAATGTGTTTAGCTACCGTCTGTAGGGCAACCCTGAAATAATGAGATGAATTCATGGCTCAGTAGCTATAACGTAATCTTTTATATGTATCTTTATATATATGTACATACATATATACAAGTGCAGATCATTATAAAAATAGTTACACTACAGCATTCTTAAACTGAAAATAACAACAATGCCGAGCAAACATTGACAAATGCAACAAAATTTCCATTTTCTGCTTAACAAAAACAAAAAAATTAAAATAATAACAATAAAAAAGAAACAAAGGCCTGAAACACTTTATGAATTTTTTCCACTTGCCAACTTTGTTGAAAAGAATAACAAAAGTCATATTAGAAATAGCAATAGTTGTGTAGTGCTTACTTAGAGGCGACCTTGTCGCAGTTAAATGACACCAACAACAATAAGAAATAGAGAAAAAGGCACAAACAAGTAACGCACTTGATAGTAATTACCGCGTGGAATACTACAAGTGTAGATACCTACAAAGATACATATGTATCTACTATCTATAAACATATATATATGTATATACACATACACATGCAAGCATTTAATATTTTTTCATATTATATGCACATTATAACTGTTGATATCCGAATGCCTTTGAGCGAGTAGGCCTTTAGTGCTTAATCACCATTACTACACATACACATATATACACATATATATATATATATATAGGTATAGTATGTACTTACATACAAGCTCCTGCGTGTGCTCCATTGCGGCAATCGTAGGTTTTGTTTACTTTTATAACTGTTTGTTTGTACATTTAATTGTCAGCTGCAAGTCATATTTGTCATATTCATTCAGCTTGCATTGTTGTATTCTGCGCTGACTATTTTTAAATGTATTTCAAGCATTATATCTATCTAATCTTATCAGTCAGTACCGTTACTTAATCAGCCGCCCGGTAGGCTGTGGAATGTTTGAAGCATGGTGGGGCGGCGTTGTCAATTTTTCACACAGAAAAATTGTTATAGCTGAAACGCTTTATTCAGCGCGTTTTTAATTGTTGAAAATATATAGTATATACATACAAACACACACACATACATGCGAGTACATACATATATGCATAGCAATGTAATGGCATTTTGAGGGAATGTCAGCTTTATTTGTAGACTGATAGATAAAACGATATTACACATATGTAATTAAGCATATATACAAATATATGAGTATATAAAATTCTTGTACATGTACATGTACAGAAACATACATATGTTTGTTTATATGGTATATACCTTCATACATAATTACATATTATATACATATGTATGTGAGCAAGAATGTGCTTTGTAAGAAACATGCCCTTAAACGGTTAAAGTGGAGTAAAAAAAAATTTTGAGTTAAGTTACACAATTTCACATAGTTGGAAAATATTTTCTAATAGAGCTGCCAACTGGTTTTGTACAAAAACATCTTGATTTGATAGTCTACAACTATATTCGTGCAATTCGCCAACGGCGTAACTTGTTTTATGCCATTGTTTAATATTCTAAACTTGCATTGGAAAGCTACTGTCCTCGTGATTTCCTTTGTTTTTTTCAGTATATGCGTAGGCCGTACATTTGAAGCGTTAAAAACAAGAATTTTTTTCTTACGCAAATATGTCGCACTTTGTGCCTGAGAGAGTGTTTTTGCGGTGAGTTTTTCTTCAATACTTTTCCATTAAGAAACCCTAAGAAAAAAGTCATCGGATTTTGGTGGAAGTTTATGGTAACTATTCTCTAACTGGATGAACAAGCCAAAAGTGGTTTACACGATTTAAAAGTGGTAATTTCGGCGTGGAAGACGAAAAACGTTCTTTGCGGTCAAAATATTTTCAATATGAAGAACTGGAAGCATTACTGGATGCTGATTATTGCCAAACACAAGAAAAGACCGCAAAATTTTCGCGAGTCAAAGACACAAAACGTTTAAAAGCAGCCGGATAGAAGTCAAGAGACATTGAAAGACGTCTTTGGTCGCATTTTGCATGAATGATTCGAAAATTTATAGCTTCAGATGGACAATATTTTGAGCAATACTATTGTACATGGTTTTCTTAAATAAAGGTTCAAATTAAAGACCCAATACATAAGTATGTATGTATATAAGGTATTTTAGAATATGAAAATTTTCCCTGTTTCTCAAATATTTTGATTAATCCAGCCCTGTGTATCATTTTATTGTATACAAGCAAGGCGAAATTCTAAAAAAAAACCATCATGTGATTTATTATACTTTTATATTATATTTATTATATTCAGCCAGTGCATAGCCGCTCAAGAATTCGCCAAAAAAAATTAATTAATTAAAGTATNCTTTAGAGTCTCAAAAACATTATTTAATTTATTTCGTTAGCTTTATAAAATAAACAAATTCTATACGCGTTTTTCTTGAAACTACATTTTTCAAATCGCACCTATCCACTTGAAATTTTAATTATAACTCAAGGTAACAGTATCTAGGAAACTATCCAAGATTTTATTTTATTCCAGTACGCAAGGTATGTTATCTAACCTACTATAATTCACAGGCCTGGCATTGTTATTGTGATTGTCATATATTGTTTGCTAGTAATATATTTTAGCAAGTTCGATAATGTAGACCTTATACTAGGGTTGGTATAAAAAAATCGAATAACTTTTGAACGATGAGGTTTATAAAAAATTATTACACATCATACTTGTACAAAATTCTGAGAGTCGAGACATTTTTTTAAAAAAGTAGATACTGAGATATGAACTTTCTTTCCACTAATAAGAAAAAATTTGAAACGAAAAAGCAAAGTGCCTTCCTATTAATATTAACAGCTCATACTTGGAACTAAATTTTTTGAGATGTCTACCAACCTAATTTCAGACTATATATTGTAGAAAATCGATTTTTTGACCCACCCTACCTTATACATGCATATTTACATGTCTATGTACACACAAATAAAATATATTCACGTCTAACGTTCAAACAATATGTGTAATGCTACTAAAAAGCCTGTTTCTGTTTAGTGCCAACAGCACATGACCTTTTACCTTCGCGTACAACGGAAATGTACCTGTTTGCCAAATTGCCCGGGGCGTAGCGTGTTTCTACAGAATTTTCCCACTCTTTTAAATACCAGAACACGTTGTGATTCAGCGTAAACACCTCAACACAATTGTATGTGTGTTCGTGTGTGTGTGTGTGTGTAGAAACAATTTCGAGCAACGCGTTGGTCGTCCGTCCGGAGCTGGAATGAATATGTAGTTCCGTAAAACGCCAATAGCGAGAAAACGTCGAAAGCAGCGAAAACGAACGTGAAGAAGCAAAGAAAAGCGAGCAAACAAACGGGCAAACAGCCAAACAAGTAAAGATAAGAAAATCAAATAAATAATGATGACTTCAAAGGGTTTAGAAAGAGAAAAAAAGGCGAACGAAGTGAAACAAAAACACATCATAAATGTATGTGGATGTGTATGTGTAGGCATTAGGGACACAAAGGCGAAAACGCATGACAATAATAACTACAATAACTATAAATGCAACAACAACACTATCATTAACAACAATAACAGCAGCAACAGCATTTAAAGGTAAACAATGGAGAGCAAAGCGTGAACGCGTTAGACAAATCGTGAAAATCTATGCTTTGTTGGCATAAAGTGAACTGTTTTTGTTGTTGCTACACATCCAACACGCTCTGTGTGTGGTGTTGCATGGGAAAATCTCATTGTTGCTGCTGCTGCTGCTGTTTGTCGCCATATGCATGCCAGCCGCCACAAGCACAACACGCAAAAGCTGCTTGCTACACTTGTTGTTGTTGTTGCTATTATGGTCGGCCAAAAAGCTAACAAACAGATGACAGCATCGGATGCACCATATTACCTATACTTATGCATCATATAAATATGTATTTACATGTGTAGTATGTGTGGCGTGCCAAAAAGTTGGACGGCGGCAGTAACAGCAGCTGCTCATTAAACAATGCCCTAAATAATATATAATTACATACGAATATTATAAAGCAACAACACGGCCACAAAACGTAACGATGGTACGAGTATAACAATACAATTTTAAAATAATGTCATAAAAATGAAGATGAAGACATGTGGCAGCTTAAGCTAAAGACAGTGTGGAGCGTGTTGAGCATTGCAAATATATATATATATGTACATTAGGGTGGGTCGAAAAAAAACCTAAGGTAAAATTTGTAGATTATAAAAACAGAACATTTTTGAATTTTTTTTAACATCTAGAGGCGGCCCAGTGAGTGAGTTAAAGTAAATTTCGAGTTAAAATATATATGTACATTAGGGCATGGTATTTTATGATTTTCGAGCTTTGTTAGGCTTAGCAAAAAATCATATTCAACATTTTTTGTTAATTGTTAAATTCTCAACGAGAATAGGTTTTCCATTTCACTATAAATAATATTAAAAGCTTAAACTTTAACAGACCTTTTTTCGTAATTTCAGACGATATTTTCACGATATTTAAGGGAAAAAGTTAAAGTTTTTTTTGCCCACCATAATTTACATATGTACATACATGCATGTATATTTATACCTCTCATTATTGTTATGTGCTACACAAATTTGTTTGTGTGTATGTGACATATTTCGCACACTTGCAACGCAAATTAATTGGAAATTTATGCGTTGAAGGTGTGCTCGGACAGACAGGCAGCAGGNAAGCATCATTAACCCAATATATTTAGATAAAGTCTCGTTGAAACTACTAACAGTACAGACTAAATCACTCACATTTTAGTTAAGAATAAAACAACAAACCTTTCAATATTTTCAAATAATTATTTATTTAAGGAAATTCTCCGACAGAAATCGAGTAAAAAAATATTTTTCAAAAATTATCTTCTTTAATCAATACCAACAGAAAAATATTCCGAAAATGCATAAAACAAGTCACTATACGATAGAAGTATAGAATATAAAATTGACTTAATAAATGACTAATATAATAATAATATTGTCGCGATCCAGCGTTTGGTTGTTTTTTTTGGAAAGTGTTGCTGAAATTATGACGCTTCTCACAAAAACATTTAAATGTCTTTCACTTGAAGGATTCGATAGAATAAGTCAAGAATCTATCTTCTGAAAGTTATGCGTTCTTATACTTGTATATAGCGCGGACTGCCAGTTTTGGGTTCGAACAAAATTTTCGAATGAAATAAAAAATTAGCCTGTTACCATTTAGCTCACGAAGAGCAGTGCACCTTTGGGCGTATTTTTGTTTGAAAAAAAACCAGCATCTATCAGTTGATCAGAACGCTTTTAATCTCAGAGGATCCCCCAAAATACATAAATCTGCAAGTTCTAATAACATTGTTCTTCCGAAATTCGTGACATCACTTCGAAAACGCTAATTTTTTGACGATTACTTCAAAAACGAGAATTTCTTTTCGGTAATTTCTCAGTAGCAGTCTCATATGCAAATTATGTGACACATAAGGCTTCCTGAATTCGAATTCGTCGCTTCTTGATTATTCTTTTTTCAATTTGCTGGCCACAATTATGTTGTTGCTGCTGCTGCTGCTCCTCAACACATTAACCTTATATTAAAATACATAAATTAGTTTGTTGTTATTGTTGTATTGTGCAGTTGACAGTTAGCAAGTGGGTTGCATATTTTTCAACATCTTAGTTTTTTGCGCTGATTTATGATTATATGCGCATGCAACACGCACACAAACACAAACACACACGCACACAGATGCTGAGCTGAGCTCGGCGCGTTTGTTGCTTTGTGCGCTAGCGAGAAGTTCGTGGGTGTGCAAGTGAGTGGCATACGAATATAGAGTTATGCATGCCTCTTGGCTGCGCGTCCGTTTGGTGGTGTGTTGAAAAAAAAAAAACAATAAGATAGCAAAAAATCTCGGCATCACGCTGTTGCCATAATGTGGCAGTTTTTGGCAACTGCCGCAGCAACATGTGCAGGTTGCAACTTGTCAGCATGAAAGGCGGGCGCCAGCAAAAAAGAGGTGTGTATACACATATACATATGTATGTTTATATGTGTGTGTCATGCATTTTCATGCTCGTTAAGAGGAAGTTGCTCAATGTTTTGTTGTTGCGTATTGCTTTTTGGCCAAAATGTGCCACACATACCCACATCTAAACACATATGCAATAGCAACACGGGCGACAATTCTCAGGCGATCATAAATTCTTACACACACACATACATATCTGATTTGCAGAAGCTATCAGCCCACATTTGTATGCCGCTTTGTAGGCTTCCAGTCTTTCTCTTTTACTTTTAGTGGCAGACATACATATGTATGTATTACACTTTATATATGTATATACATACATATATTATATATAAACACATAAGTACATATGATGTGCAATTTACCGTTGTACTGTTCGATTTTCAGCGTCTGCTGCCACTTTTTTTCCAAGCTTCCCTCCACTGGCTGCTTGCCTCAACTTGTCTTGCCTGCATTGTTTATTGTTTATCGCGTTAGCTTTTGTTCTTGCCACAACTTTTAGGTCAATGAAATTCATAATTTCGCTCAGCGACCGCTTTATAAAAAGCCATCACTTTGCTACAGTGAAAACTGTGTAAATTTCTTGCTTTTCAAGTGAGCTGTGAATTTTGTGGCACGCCTGGCAAGTTGCCTTTTTTGTTGCACGGCTGCAAAATAATAAGAACAGCTAAGCTTCAGAAAAAAACTAGTGTACATATCACACTTTTGGAAGCAGCCGCTAAAGTGACGTCAGCAATAAGCAAGAGGCGTTACGAGCTTTTAGCTGTAGAGATTTTGTG